AAAAAAAAAAAAAGAAAGCATCAACTGATGTAAGTCTCCACGGGATATTCTTTTCCAAAAATTTGTGGTAGAAATATCTTTGGGTAAACTATGTTTAGTCTAAAGTTTACAATAGCTTCTGGCTTGCTCTGAATGCTTTATAAAGCAAAAGAAGATATATACGAGGAAGTTTTCATAAATGAAGACTAAGCCTTACTTTGCCAACGAGAGCCGGAATGTTCATTGAATTTGTTGCAAATCCCATGCCGTATGCCATAGCAGCTTCTACTCCCAAGAAACTTGCCACGAGCTTCTCTAGTTCTTCATGCTTGTCCAGGTTTCCTGTGTGAAGAAGTGAATGAAGTCAATACCACCAAATCCCAAATTTAAGAACTACTCATTACTTTATAAAAAGAAATCATAGATTACATGTTATGATTACATGTTATAGCCTTTTCAGACTAAGCTCTATGAAGGAGTCAGTATTATGAAGAGTATTGGCTCATAAAGAACACAATAGCTGAATAAATTCAGATTCAGCACCTGAGGTGGAATTTCCGTAAAGAGGATTGCCAACAATTTCTCCAATTCCTGTTCACACAGGCCAGTTCCAGGTCTAGGCCTTAAAAGGCCTGGCAACATCTGCTTTTATACTTTTGAAGTTAGCTGCCATATAAAACAGTCTAACTAGCCTGTTGTAAAGAGAGACCAGGTGGAGACAGGGACTGTGGAGAATAAGAGACAAAAGAAAGGGGGGAGGTGGGCTCTGTCAGCCCTCAGCTGATCCCACTACCCAGCTGAGGTGCCAGACATGTGAGTGAGGCCATCCTGGATACTCTATTCTCAGTCATAATGCTCCACCCAACACCACATGGAGCTGAGATAAATGTGAAGAACTGCAGAAATCACAAGCAAATACATAAATGTATGTTTCTGTTTTAAGCCACTAAGTTTTGGAATGGTTTGTTATGTAGAAAAAGACAGGTTAAAAAGCACGTTCCCTCACTTCGATCTGATTGGTAAATTTGTATTGTGATTTTACATCAGTACTTAAATCCTGAAGGACCAAACAACACTGATCAATGACACTGGCTACACGCAGAGAGAAAAGATGCTGAGAAAGAAGACTGCTGAACTTGGATACTACCATGTCCCGAAAGCTTAAGCAAGTCATTTAACCTCTCTGGGCCTCAGTTTCTTATCAGTAATATCAATAATAATATTTGCTCTATCTACCTCATGACATTGTTGTGAGGATCACAAGAGATAATATGTTCAAGCACTTCATAAAATACAAAGCGCCATAAAGATGTAAGGTATGGGGCCGGCCCCATGGCTTGGCGGTTGAGTGCGCACGCTCTGCTACTGGCGGCCCGGGTTCGGATCCGGGGTGCGCACCGACGCACCGCTTGTCAGGCCATGCTGTGGCGGCATCCCATATAAAGTGGAGGAAGATGGGCATGGATGTTAGCCCAGGGCCAGTCTTTCTCAGCAAAAAAAAGAGGAGGATTGGCAGATGTTAGCTCAGGGCTGATTTTCCTCACACAAAAAAATAATAAAAATAAAAATTAACTGAATTAGCTTATTTAATTCTTGAAACAGCCCTATAAAGTAGGAATTATTGGGCCGGCCCATGGCTTAGCGGTTAAGTGCGCGCGCTCCGCTGCTGGCGGCCCGGGTTCGGATCCCAGGCGTGCACCGACGCACAGCTTCTCCGGCCATGCTGAGGCCGCATCCCACGTACAGCAACTAGAAGGATGTGCAGCTATGACATACAACTATCTACTGGGGCTTTGGGGGTAAAAATAAATAAAATTATTAAAAAAAAAAAAAAGGTAGGAATTATTATTAGGCCCAATTTAACAGTATGGCAACAGATTAACTCTCATATGCCCACACCACAGACTCAGTACAAGTAAGCAGCAGGCTTAACTACTATCATTTGCAAAACCCAGTAAAGTCAACATTAAAGTTACAAATGAAACAAATACTTGCAGAACTTTTCTAGAATTATTCTGTATGTATAACATAATGGAAAAGATAAATATATCTCAAAAAGTGTTGAAAGTATTAAAATCATCCATCACTTCAGAAACATAAAGCATTCTTTACCTGATGTAACCTACATGGCAAAGTATGTATTTGGATGCTTAATATTCTAGCTCTCTATCAGTATTATTCTCTCATCCTCAGCTAACCAAACATAGCCCACACTTACCAATTTCCTGCCGGGTGCTGCACACTCCAACTCCATACTGCTCTAGGACTTTGGCAGCTGCTTCTTGACATGATCCAGTATTCCGTGCAAATCCAAGATAGTTGTAGGAACCCATGTTTATAACACCTTTAATTATATTCCCTGTGTACCTGTATTCCAATAGCATAAAAGTTCATGAAACTCACGAGCAAGTCAAATACCTACATGTGATAGTAAGTGTAGTGGTAATACAAAAGGAAGCACCATATATGGGAAGTAGGGAGAATATGGTTTAGATGAAAAGCAAGTCAAACTCACTACCAATTAGGGAAATCAAGTTAAAATGATTTAAAAACTGACTACATTCAGTGTTGGCCAGGACAGTCTCATACACTGTAGAAAAGAATATCAGTCAATACTTTTTTCTGGAAGGCAGTTTGGCACTACTTATCCATTAACAGATATACAGACTCTGACTCAGCAATTCCCCCAGGCATATGAAAGGATATATGCATAAGGATCCTTTAAGAGTCACTGCACAATTTACCATGTCTCTTCCCCAGGCACACAAACCAGTGACACTCCACATGGTGGAAGCGCAGTCAGCCTGGGCCCCCAAGTGAGGACAACATGGTTCAGAGGCCACATCGACTTAAGATGGACACGAAGTGTGGATAAGAAATAAACTGCTGCTGTTTTAACTCTGAGATTTTAACATAGGATGATGCGGCCCAACTTGCTATACACTATATGTATCTATACTGTAGAATACTAAGCAGCCACTACAAATAATGAGCTTGCTGTGAACATACACAAGGATGATATTACTGATATGTCAGAAAGTAAAAAAAAAACAAGATGTAAAAAGATTTCTAGGGGGCTGGCTGGTGGCAGAGCAGTTAAGTTAGTGTGCTCCGCTTCAGAAGCCTGGGGTTTGCCAGTTTGGATGCTGGGCATGGACCTACACACCACTCATCAAGCCACGCCAAAGCAGCATTGAACATAGAGCAATTAGAAGGATGTACAACTATGACATACAACTATCTACTGGGGCTTTGGGGAGAAAAAAGGAAAAAAGGAGGAAGGTTGACAACAGACGTTAGCTCAGGGCCAATCTTTCTCAAAAAAAATAAATGAATAAATAAAATAAAAAGATTTCTATAGTATGATCCCACTTTTTGAAATCAAAAACTACCTGTGTGTAACCCCAGTAGATACACTACATTCATAGCCCATAGAAAACATTTGGAAGAATAATACACAAGCTGGTAACAATGGGTACCTCTGGGGAGTGAGGATTTGTGGGGGGTGGATTTGCAGAGGGACAGTGGTTAACTGTCACAGGGGACTTCCAGTTTATCTATATTATTTGTCTTTTTTTTTTTTAATGACTGCAATCATGTAATACTTAGGCAATCTAAACAATAAAATAAAATTTTATAAATATAAAAAGTTTTCTAAACTATTCAATGCATTTAAGTAAAAATACTCTATATATCCTCGAATCATGTGAGAAATCAAAATATCCAGAAATAAATTCACACACTTGATTCTAGTAAGTGGCATAATAGATAGAACATTTTTGTTTTTTCTTGTTTTTTTTAATGAATCAAATTTTGTTTTCAATTATACTCCATCACAGTATCAAATGTAATAAAAGAAATGTATTTTAAAAATCTCAATAACAATGAACAATATGAAAGGAAACTAGTCATCTTGTATTGTATTCTCAGCTTTTATTGTTGTTTTGACACAATATTCAATTTGCAATGGAATATTTTCTGACGTAAAGAAATTCTTTTGTTGTTGTCAACATATAATTTCCTGACCGAGACTCACTTGAACGACCAGTTGTAATCATGAGACTGTCTCTCCATGATGTCCACCCTGGCTCCAGGCACGCTACAGATTGGTCGATTCCAGTTGTCTCTAATCCTCATGTAGAGGTTCCTTGTATAGAAGTTTTCGAAATCCTGATACAACGACACAAAGTCCTGCCAACAAATGGTGGAATGCTATAAATTTAACTGAGTCACTTTAAAAATTTTTACAACTTCCCTTTTCATGTTGCAAGAGCACAAGAGAATGAGAGGTCAATTATATTGAATTAACTGATACAGAAAACATTTGGAAAGGCATCAATTCTCTATGTTTATTTTAAAACAACTCAATCAGGTTAATTTGCTTTGATGGTTGACCTATATGAAATGGTTGCAAATAACCACCTGCCAGCATGAATGTAGAGTCAAAGAATTTAACTTAATAAAGTAGGCCTCATAAAAATGAAACTTAGTTGTACAATTCTGTCAGTGAATGGTTTTCTTTCCTAATAAACTAATAGAGACTGCTCTTCTGCTCGCCCTGCAGTAAAATCTTGGGGGAAATGCCATAAAAACCCCTACGATTCCAGTTTCAAACAAGAAAAAAAAATCCCAAAATTAAGATTCTATCCTCTCTATATTTTCAAGGATCAAAACGAAACAAATCCAAAGAAAAATGATAAACAAGAACCATTAACATGTAGCTTATAGAAAGACACCTACCTCAGGTTTCTTTCCTTGGGTGGGAATTTAAAAAATTAAAATAAACAAACAAAAAAAAGATTCTCAAAATGAATTCCCATGACTGGGAACTTAAAGCCTTTCTTTCCTCCCCGAAATTAAGTTATATTAAAATTTAAGTCTGTAAAAAAGTCACAATGGAGCTAAAATGAAAGCATAATGTTATGTCCCATGTAGTATGACCACTGATCAGAACACACATGACCAGAACACGAGATCTACTTAACTCCTGAAGGTAAAGGGTAAAACCAAACAAAAAGAAAACTGTACTACAGTTTTACTACAGTCAGCAAACCACTTGAGCGGCCAGCCCTCAGATCTTGGCTTGGTACCAATCTAAATTAATCTGTTAAATAAGTTAATCGAGGGTTGGCCCCGTGGCTTAGTGGTTAAGTGCGCGTGCTCCGCTGCTGGCGGCCCCGGTTCGGATCCCGTGCGCGCACCGATGCACCGCTTCTCCGGCCATGCTGAGGCCACGTCCCACATACAGCAACTGGAAGGATGTGCAACTATGACATACAACTATCTACTGGGGCTTTGGGGGCGAAAAATAAATAAAATCTTTAAAGAAAAAAAAAAAGTTAATTGAAACATTCAAGGTTTAAGCCTTATTCTGTAAAGAATTTCATTGCTAACGAAGACTCTACATAAAACTTTAAAATTAATAAACTTCTAGGACACTGGACTCTAAAGTGCCTACTAAATAAGTGTCTCAGAACATAAAATCTCCTTAAATAAGGCCTAGCAGAGTCAGAAAGTACTCTAGGAAATTGCAGGACCTGATACCACCTCTCTAGCAATTGGTTCTAACAGTTACATTTCCTTAAGAGAAAATAGCCAGAGATAATGTGTCTATCACAGTTGGAAATGTATTACTTAAACAGCATGTCCCTTTTGACAGTCTCCTCTTCCAACAAGAATCCTGGATGAATGAAAATTGGAACAGAGACATCTAAATTCTAATTAAGGACTTTCCTTCGGCTATTACCATGCACTTATTTCCCAAAGGAAAAAACAAAAAAGTTGTCTCCGATCCTTTTCAATTCACATCAAATAGGGTAAACAGTACTAATTCTTCTTGATTTCATTTCTTTATAACCTTTCTAAACAGTGCACATTAATGTTGAAGGTATTAACTCAAATATTTGAGAGAAATACTCCATCACAGGCAAATTTTTATTAACAAAGAGCAGTATTTTTTGTTTTTACTATATAAACATCAGAAAAAACTTACGAGAGTCTGGTCCTATCTACCAGAACGGTTACCAACTCCAAGACAGAAAAAGGGCTGCAGGCTAAATGGGGTAGAGCTTTGGGTAACCAGTGACACAGCTGTCTGTGGTTAGGAGGGAAGGGATGGGTTACAACCTCCTAAACAGAGACTGCCAAGATCAGGGAACTCTACCTCTCCTTAGCATTACAATGAGAGATCAAGGGCCGGCCCGGTGGCTTAGCGGTTGAGTGCACGCGCTCCGCTGCTGGCGGCCCGGGTTCGGATCCCGGGCCCGGGCGTGCACCGATGCACCGCTTCTCCGGCCATGCTGAGGCCGTGTCCCACATATAGCAACCAGAAGGATGTGCAGCTATGACATACAACTATCCGCTGGGGCTTTGGGGGAAAAAATAAATAAATAAAAAATCTTTAAAAAAAAAACAAAAAAACGAGAGATCAATTAAGTCCTTGAGATGGGAACAGACTTGCACAGAGTGAAGAAGTTGTCACAGTGAGGGATGAGAGAGACCAAAAGCAGGTGGGACAGAAAGGCAGGAGAGGCACTCGTGGGCAAGGTAGCAGTTTGACTGCAGTGAGAAGGTTTGGTAGAGAGATCTGAGGGCAGCTAACCAAACTCCCAGCAGCTTAGCAATGAAGTAAGAAAAGGGATGGAAGGGGATCGCTATTTGGGGTTCCAGTTCTAGGCAATGAGAGCGTCTGTTTCCAAAAATATCTCATACACTTTAAACATTCTAGGACTAGGGTTAAACTAGAGGACTTATCTTTTCACTCATTCATTCAAATATCTTTTATTGAACACTTTTGCTAGACTTGGGATACATTAAAGAACAAGACAGTCCTCTTTGCAAACAAGACACTCCCACTACTCCTACTCTCCTCCACCTGCCCCCCAGCCTACTCCACATCCCCATCCCCCTCTTCTTCCTCCTCAGTTTAGTCACTGTGAAATGACTAGTCAAGACCGACCTAACACTTGTTTGCTCGGTCACTGAACAAACATTTACTGAGCAGTACTCTCCAGGCACTAAGCTAGGCAGTGGAGATAAAAATGAGTAAGACACAACCTCGACACTCCCCAGGATCTCTTAGTGTGGTGGGGAGGCCCATAGATAAAGTTATGATACAATATAACAAGTACTGTAAAGGGATGCTTGCCCAGAGAGAATACCGAACTGGTAGGTGAGGAGCAATGATAGAATCAAGTTCAAACAGCCTTAAGGATGCACTCTTCATGGACACGTTTCTTGAAGACCTTTCACAAACCCCATATAGTAGTGCACATACATGATGCAGCATAGAGAACAATATCTAGTGGAGACTACTCTTGGATTGTTGGGCTTGAAGTACTCACCTATTAAGTGACTTCACTAGCCTCAGAGAAAAACTCAAATTCATGGATATGTTACGTAAGGATCCTCGAAGACCTTCTAAAAGTAGTCATTAATTAGCCAATAAATATCCTTTATTGTTTAAGCCTATTTGAGGTTGAGTCTTCTGGAAAATATCCTATATTGTTTAAAATAAACAGGTACTCCCTATTCTAGTACCTACGAGGGCCTTAAGCTTATAGGGGATCTTAAAGGCTGGGTGCTACCACTTTCAGAAGTTGACTTTATAACAATTTTCCATGTTTGTTAAGAGCAATTCTGGCCCAACAAAGATGTCCAAATACTCTTAAACGATGATGATAAAGATGGTGCATAATTACAATAGCAACAAGAGTTACCATTTACTGAGTACTTACGATATGTCTTGCATTACACATATTTTCTCTTAAATATCCCTGCACCCTCTTACAGAAGATTTACTCCCATTTTCAGAAAGGAAAAATGGCTTTTCCACTTAGGGAATGAGCCAGAGGCAGAGCCAGGAACTGATCCAGGTCTTCTAATTCAAAGTCTACGTTCTTAACCCCATACATTTTTTTCTATGACACACAATTTATCTGAAAGTTTTATGTGACAGAGTTTGTTCAGCTGCCTAACTCAATAACGTGTATCCCAATTTACCGAGCCTAAAGTGATCACAAGAAAATCCACTTTGTCTGAATGGGCTAAGACACTTATCTATCTGGAAAAGATCAGGGTGCTCCAGAACTCTCAGCTACTGAAACTGAAGGCTATACATCTGAAAGCTTTTCTTTAAAAACACACCAATGCTGTCTGCAGGTTACTACAGTACTGCTGAAATATTTCAAGACATTTGGCCATAATAAACATAATCCTGCATACCAAAGACAGCTGGTGAAAAACAAGTCTGTAGTGTTTTGAATTTTTATTTTGGCAATGTCTTTTCTTGAGAAGGAAATAACCTCATAAAATATATCTATAAACAGCTATAACACAACAAATTGTTTCAAAACTTAAACTAAGAGAATTCAAAAATCCCAAATAATTCCTGCCTGAAGAAGTGTTGAAAATGGAGTCATCCTATGGTTAAAAAGCATTATACAGCAAGGAGTAGTTATTTTGTAAACCAACAATGTTGTCTTTACCTCTATTTCATGAAGAAAATTAGGTGAAATAACCTGTGAAAGGTTATTACACCGGTGACTTTAAAATCTTTGAACCACTGTTAAGAGTTTTCCCTACAGTTCATATAAGTCATACTACTGTTTGTTCTTTCCTGTTTTTAATGTTATAAACAGGAAGCCACTTCCTATGCCTCTCCATAAAGGCATAAAATGAGATTTAAAGATTAGAGACAGTTGTTTTCCTTAAATCTAAAACCAAGTCATCTGTGTGTCTGTATGTACATATGCATTCACGCACACACGTGCGCGCACACACACACCCCTGTGAATACTTCAATTCAAAAGACTCAAAACTTTTCATTATTATTACCACCACTCACAATACTATTCCTATTTAGACATTTACTAATGTCTAATATGTGCCAAGCACTCTTCCAGACACTGGGTATACAGCAGTAAACAAATAGATAACAATAATCTCTGCCCTCCTGGAATTTATATTTTGGGGAAGAGAGAGATACTAAATGAGACAAATGTATAAAATATAAAGTAAGTAAGACAGTGAAAAATACTAATGGAAACAAAAATCAAACAAGGAGGGAGGATGTAAAATGCCGGAGTCATGCTAAAATTTAGCTAGAGTGGCCAGGGTGTAGAATAAAGAAGGAAAAGGAATCAAGGGAACTATCCATGAGACTATCTGGAGGAAGAGGTTTTCCGGCAGGT